GCGTAACGCGCGACCAGGCTAGTGCGACAAATTTTCGTTGAGTTCGTAACGCGCGTCCGGCGGGGTGCGGCGATCTTTGCATTGCAGTTTGCACTGCAAAAAAAGGCTGAAAACTGTGAAAGCACGTGTACCGCGTGGTGAAAAGTAGTTTTTGGAGGAAGCGCTCTTCCCCTTAGTCACTTTCCTTTTGATGATCTTTTTGTGAACAGATCACTCTGATAGTTAAAATATACAGTCTTCTATTGATATCGTTGTCGCCCTTTTCCGTCGGGTTTGTAACAGTTGGATAGCAACTGAATTTCTGTGCCTTCAATGTGGATGAAAAGAAAAAATGATGCGGCAAAAGCAAAAAAATGATGCGGCAATACCAAAAAAAGTGATGCGGCAATAGCAAAAAAAGGACTGCGGCAATATAGAAACCTGTGTAACGGCTCCTGTGCGACTTTGCATGTAACGCCCTGCGTGCGGCAAACATGTGCCAATGTAACGCTTCATGGCCTCACTGCGGCAACATATATTGCCAGTACGGTATGTAAAGGGCTATCGCAGCCAAAGAAGCAACCATGGTATCAAATCTAGACAACTTTTGTATATGCAAGTTGTGTTTTCCTGACTCCATATGTATCACTGCACCCAGGTAAGCATGGATATTGGTACAGCATGCAGTAGTATATGAAGGCCATAGGTGGAATACCAATGATACGCGCCAATTGTGCATATTTCTGACCAACCAGGGTATCACAAACAAATAGACTGAGAATTAGTTTGTGCTCGTGTACTGGGAACATAGGGACAAAACAACCTCATAAGCGTTGTCTCAGTGCATGAAGAGTAACAACATACCAGGGAAATGGTCATATTTTCACACATTTGAGGTAAAACAATTGGTTCAAAATTGCAAATTTTGAATTCTTGTCTCAGATTCGAAATTATATTTTTCTTCATCTACTCACATCCAGCGTCATGTAAGTGAAAGAGAAGACAAGAAGCAGTCGCTGGCTGGTGAATTACGCCTGCCTTGACGATTTTAGGCCATCGCTGCCCTCCCTCTTGCTCCTGTTTTGAGAGCGAATACTACGATGGGATCAGCGATACAAATTTTCAATTTCGAGTCACATTCCGCGATGATATCGCCACAGCCGATCTCTCCAATCGTCCACCACGTCTAGAAGACGTCGACATGACCTAGAACAAGCTACATCTTTGCTACAAGCAGAGAAACTGAGCGAGAACACGATCGAAACAGCGACAATTGTTTGCGCTGAAAAGCATACTTTTGAACGCGTTCGTTCTCCATACTTTCAAATGGCAACCTACCCATATCGTACATCAAAATTTTCAGTGGGATCTCAGCTGTCAAGCGCAAAAAACCGCGGGTCGATCGGAGCTACGGCGGCGGGGAACGGCGCGCTTGATTGGAGTGCAGCGAACCGTACCATATGGTACGGTTCGAGATGGGGCTGGTACACAAAGGGTTAAAAGCAATCAAGCATGCGCACACTCACACACACACACACACACACACACACACACACACACACACACACACACACACACACACACACACACACACACACACACACACACCATGTACCATGTACCATGTATACGCCCGTCGCAAGAGAAGCACGCAAATCTGCAAATGCACTGGATGTGCACCCACAGATTTTCTCTTTATAGCAACGATAGCGGATCTGATTCTGATTGAAACAGATCAAGACAAGCGCCAGATAACTGTATAATCCACACAACTGGCGAAGCCACGTGAATCGACCCCCGATGCACACCTGGTCTACACCACACGGAGTACATCGGAATAGGACGGCCAAGACAGTTACCTATGCACACCCTACACACACACACACACACACACACACACACACACACACACACACACACACACACACACACACACACACGCACGCACGCACACACACACGCACACACACATATACACACACACGCACGCACACACACACACACACACGCATGCGCGCACAAACAGGCAGTTAGATGGATTCCTACCTTGCAGTGTTCTGCCATCACTTTCTTGGACACTAGTCTCGGTACTCTAGCAGGCCGGACAGTGGTGGAACTCTGCACACCGACCTTTGAACCAATGAAATCCCAGCGAAAGTCAGTCCTGCATACCTGATAACATTAGCAAAGAGCCAGCAAAAAAAGAGAACAGAAACAGGCGGTGCGTGGGCTTGTGGCTGAACTCACACACAAACTGCCTTATGCCTTCACAGGGGTGTAGCTCAAACATCTGTAGTATGGTGAACTTGTACCAGAGCTACATCTGCAGGGTGGCGACCATGTGCCACCGGCAATTTAGACGCCATTTTGCTTGTTTTGCCTACGTAGTACCTATGATAGCCATCTCCTGGTGTGGTGGACGGACTACGCTGTCTATACACGAGCTACGCGCCTGCCTACACGCGGCATCCAAACAACAACAGTAATTGAATTATGCCGCAAAGACACACGCCGGCCATCCTGGTACTAGTAAGCATCACGGGTGAGCGTAACACACACACATAATTCACCAAGCACAACCTCATGGCACACACCCCCCCCCCCCCCCCCCCCCACACACACACACAATGCAGCACCAGCACCCAAGGTTTCTCTTACACAGAGCGCCCTGACCCAGCCGGCTGCAGTTTTTAAATCATGTGCTGTTTTCCTCTTTTTGCAATGCCTGTATATATAATTACTTCTGGACTGTATTGAGTAGCTTTACCATAGTGACATTTTGCCTAGAGCATTATGCCTCCCACATCAGCATGCGACATATATTCTTCATCTTTTATTGACGTCTAGCCGTATAGTTAGATGAGAAGGCAAAAACGCGTGTATGCCTGGTGAATAAATAAATGAGCAAATCATCAACAGCAGCAGCAGCGGCAGCACAGGACCTCAGTGGATCTAGTAAACGGCACTTGCACCAGCAGCCGCGTTTCCTGTTCTGGAGCCGATGGCACCAGGGTCGGGAATGCAGTGCAGCACTTGGGTATGCACATTAGCAAGCTTGGCCAGGTCGTAAGGGCAAGTCTACTTGTCCAACAACGTGATGCAATGGAAGTCCTTTAAATTTGTACCCCAAAAACCAGAACAAGACTTCTAATTATCCAACAACAGAAAACACGCACTGATATAGATACAACGGATCAGTCGGGGAAGTGAACTGCATGAAAAGAGAGAAAAATGCCAACACAACCTCACCAGGACTCGCACCCGGGACCTGGTGGGGCTGGCAATTTTGTTATATTTTCAGGCAGTTTACTTTCCCGACTGATCCCATGAATTTTGAAGTTCTCCCAATCTATGATATAGATTCGTTCCGACACACGGCTTAAATGAAGAGAATGTTCCCGTACCTCCATCAACGGCAGCTCGGGGTGCTTAAGTGGCGGGTACCCGCGATTCGCGTCAAGCTCTGCAAATGTCATTCGACCACAGCTGGTGTTGGCTGATTCTCCAGAACATAAGCCTAGAACCTAGAGATCAGTGCAACATACATACAGACTAGAGATCAGTGCAACATACACACAGATACATAGTACATAACGTACTTCCCCGATTCTAAGTCGCACTCGATTATAAGTCGCACCCCAATTTTCAGGCTTGAGCAATATTGATTTATAGATATATTATATTGACTTCAGTAGAAAGTCATGCTCGATTGTAAGCTGCACCCCTTTTTTACCCTTGAATTTTAGTGTAAAAAGGTGTAAGACTTCTATTCGGGGAAATACAGTACTGCCGGTGTTATCAACATTGACAAGTAATACAGTGATGGGGGGGGGGGGGGGGTCAGCAAAATCTGAGCCCCACATGTAGCTTCTTAGCTACCCCAGCAGCTACTCAGTGTCACTCAGCTACTCAGTGTTACTCAGCTACTCAGTGTTACTCAGCTACTCAGTGTTACTCAGCTACTCCAGTATGCGGTGCTACTCAAATATGAAATAAATAAATATCACGGCTTCGCGTACAGGGCGGGTCAAGAACCGCCTTTCCGTTTACGTGGGACGCCAACAACCCATGTTCGGGCGTCGAGGTGCTACTCAGCTACTCCAGTAGTCAATCGACTCAACACTTCTCCAGTATGCTGGGCTTCTCAGCTCATCAATGCCAGCATGAACATCTGTCTTGCTCTGTGTATTAGCACTCCTGCACGGGACAGTGTACTAGCTACAGGTATCAGTGCTCTATACTCGTACAGGTGGAATCCTGATAATTCGAAAATGGCTTAATTCGAACATACCGCTTAATTAGAAGTTTTTCCAGGACCGATTTCTATCAATACGATTCCCACATAAAAAAATTCTGATAATTCGAACCTCGAACTGGACATGTCCAGTTAATTAGAAGTCCCACAGATTCCACTTACATAGAAAATGTGTGGGATTTGTGCTGATAATTCGAAGTTAGCAAAGTGTAATTCGAAGTTCACTGTACACTGTACTGGTCAGTTCAGTTTGCATGAGCAGGCTGTGCCGGTCAGTTCAGTGTCCGTAAAAATTGTGTCTAAGGTCCATAGCGCAACTCGGCGTGACCATGAGAGCATTTTGACATACATATTGAGTTGTGGGTTCATGTTTGGATAATAAGAATGTCCGGATAATTAAAAGTTTTTTCCTGGCATTTTGAGGTTCGAATTATCAGGATTTCACCTGTATAGCCTACATCAAGAGTACATCATGTTATGGCTACTAGCTAGCCATGCACCATACGTTTAGCTCCCTCGGTATTAGACTTTGTTCACAGCCATGCTAGCTCCCTCGCTCCATTTTAGCTCCTTGTCTTCTTGTTGAGATTGCGCTTGAATGTTGTGGCTACTCAGTCTCTAGACAGCTAACTGTATCGACCTTGTTAGGTCTCAGCACTGGGCCACCGAGTCACTGGGCCACCGAGTCACTGGGCCACCGAGTCACTAGCCCAACCGACCTCAATGCAGTCTAGCCAACAACAAAGTAGTTCAAATCGGCGTGAAGCATCAAGGTTGTAATGCTTTTTAAACTGTGAGAAAAGCACAGTGAGCTTTGGCTATGTACTTGAACCTGCCCCGAACACAATGCCATACACTCATCAGCGGCCTCCACTCATGCACTACAAAAAGATAACAGACTATAATTAAATAGCTGTCTTGGAGACAGGAAGCTTATCAGGGACACAAAAAACTACAAATCTCAAGCTATTTATCACCATTATCATCATTGAGGACTCTGAAATTCATGAATCAGTTTTCGCATGATAATTTTGCACAACCCACCAGTCGTAATTATAGACACCACAGTGCTACGCAGGTGTTCCGACCCACCCATACTCATAGCTAAGTGTCAGAGCCATCCGCCATACCTCCAGCCTGCCTCTCTCTTCCATGTCCCTCCCGCCGTAACCGCTGCAGCTCTCCCAGGCCTTCTCGATGACGCGCCCGCTCGCCACCATGATCAGCCCGTCGACGACGGCCGGTGACCAGGGCGAGCGAAAGTTCTCGCTGTAGTCGCACACGTACTGCATAGTGGGCCAGTCGACGTGACAGCACCCGTCCTGCCCCATCGTGAACATCACCAGGCCGGCGTACCACACTGGCGAGTCGCCCGGTTGCGCACCCTGGCCCAACGATAGGAAGTCCAGGTGCGGATACAGGCTGCTCTTCTCGCTTGGCACGCGGATACCGTCGGCGAACACGAAGCGTGTGAACTCGCTCACAAACACCTCTTTCTCCGGAGTCAGCATGACGGCGTCTTGCTCGCGCCGAATGGTGACGTCAATCTGGCCTGACGGATGCCAGAGAGGAAACTTGGTCGACTCCATGTGCTGCAACACACAGGGCACACAGCAAACACCTCTCAGTCCTGCTCAGTGAAATCCAGTCGCGTCACTCAAGTTTGCGCCTTGCATCATTTCGCAGCCCAGTGTTCGCAGGTTGTACTTGAGTGACTCGACTGGATTTCATTGAGCAGCACCGTAGTATATCCAGAGCAGTACATGTTATATCAGCCAGCACAGCACAATTACCTTACTCTCCAGAGTAGTAAATAGTGAAGTTCTACTGTACCTTGGCTTGCTGGTCAGGCAGAACAATTCCATACAGCGACGTGTACTTTCGTCTTAGCTCCACATTGTCCGGCGATACTTGAAATGTGTACAGGTGATAGCGACTGGATGCAGAGTCACGTCTCCTTGGCACGGTGCTGCGTTCGGCTGCCTGAAAGCAGTGTGGCACCTGCAAGTACAAGCACAGACGTACACACACACGTACACACATGCATACACACGCACATGAATGCGCGCACGCGCGCACACACATGCACACACACACACACATGCACACACACACACACACACACACACACACACACACACACACACACACACACACACACACACACACACACACACACACACACACACACATGCACATACACACATACACACACACATACACATACAATAGGAAGGAAGGTTTAAAGTGCCCAATGCTGCTGAAACGATGAAATCCAACTGTCGATAACCACAAGGATACGTTTGGAGGCAGTTCACTTCCCTGACTGATTCTTTGAATTTTGAAGTTCTCCCAATCCTAACAAGAAAGTAAGCAGCAGCAGCACTCGGCCCTTGAAAATTCAGGAGCCTCTTGCTGCTGTTGTGGGGAATGAACGTGGTTGCAACGTGGTTGTAACGTGGTCGGCCGCAGAGCGCAGTGGTGATGGTGGTGAAGTGTACGCAGAATCTCCCAATCCTCGAAAAATTAAAGAAATGTTCTTTTTGAGCAGGCATGTCTGGGCTTGAGATTTGACGTGCGTGCGTGCGTGGGTGCGTGTGTGTGTGTGTGACACCAAACCATGTCCACAGACAGACAGACTGACAGACTGACAGACAGGTATACATACATACATACATACATACATACAGACATACAGACAGACAGACAGACACACAGACATACAGACACACAGACAGACACACAGACAGACACACACATCGATAAATACCTTGACCGGGTAGAGAGCAAGTGCCTTCAGCTTGAGATTCTTCAGAGCAAGTGCCTTCAGCTTGAGACTTCTTCCCACGCCCGTCGTCCACCATCTCCAGTTCATCACCCTCGAACTCCTCCTCATCCAGGTAGTCATCAGCAAGTACTGGCCGAAGGTGTTCATTGAGTTCTTTTCGCTTGTACAGCAGGCGTACGACTTCCAAGCAGGCAGCACGCTTGGCGAGACGTCGTGTGGGCATGGCAGCTCCCTGTGCAGTACAGAGAAGAACAAAGAGATGAACATGATGATTGGGCAGTGTCAGTCAGCACACATGCTTGTGGGTATGCAACACACTGGTAGACAGTACACACTGGTAGATGTTATTGGGCCCGTTAAAAAATAAACCTAGAAAAACCAGTAGGTACGCTACATAAAAAAATAATAATAAGGCTACCTAGAATTAATTCGTTGTTTCGGGTCACTTCACTCATCCGTACCAGGGTCGGTCGGTCGGGTTTATTTTTTATTTTATTTTATTTTTTATTTTGGTTATTGCCATGTACACATGTACATGTATATGATTGTGCATACATGTACAATTGTGCATTTCGAATAGCTTTTGTCCATCAAGCCAGTCGATCAAATCATGACTGTAGACGATCCAGCGCAGTCATTGTCCCATCACAGACCCAGGTCCCCTCCAGGACCAGACCTTGGCCTCGCTGGCAAACGAGTCTAAGGAGCAGTTCACACCTTGAAACGTCTGTCAAAGAGCGACGCGGTGGCGGAGCTGATGCTGTTTCAGGACCGATTGCGGATCGGAAGACAACATCGTCACCAAGCGCTTCATCCTGTTATTTTATTTGGCTGCTTCTGAGGTCGATGACTGGACTGCGCTTGTGTACATATGTACGTACATAGTCTAGTCATGTACATTTGCATGCACTATAAAAAAAATTGCGGTCGGGTGAAAAAAGACGGTCGGTCGGGTGACCCGAAACAGTGAATTAATTCTGGGTGGCCTTATAACAATTTTAAAAAAACAGTACACACTGGTAGTAGTGACTTTACTCCCTCGCACCCAGACACTGATTTTTTGGAAACAAGTTTCTATACTTCCGATGGGAGAATCCGACATAGCAGTGCATTTCGGCGTGGCCAGGTCAAATAATTGTAGAATATCGCATCGAGTGAATTGCTTTATCTGAGAGAGGAGATGTTCGTGCCCTTGAGACCCGAAGTCCCGTTTCCATACGACAAAATTTAGGAGCTCTGCGCTCAGCGCTTTTTCAGGGTATGAATTTCGGGTTGTTCTGGTCGGGTCGCAGCGTCGCGGAAACTACTGGCCATGTGAAATTACAAGGTGGTGAGACGCTTTTGTCTTCCTCTACGAGCGAATTTGTTCTGCGCTAGCATACCAAAGTATGCAATTTCGTACGCGCAGTTCGAGTGACGAGGCGTGTGCACTGTACACTGTGCTGCATGCACGGACTGTGCGGTCGTTCTCGATTCTCCCATCACTCCCATTCATTTCTGTTTCCAGCAAAAGTCCAACTTGGCGCACTTCAAATCACTATAACTCAAGAATGGCTGGGCCGATTCGAATAATACTTACAGATTTCCTATGTACTACGCCTGGGAGAATCGAATGAGACTAAAATCGAAGCGGTCGGAGAAAGTTTTGGAAATTGGGTGTAGCCACTACTGGTAGACAGTATACACATAGATGTCACGGTACACTAGTGAAAGGATGCTATACCGGGTACTGTAAAAGCAGAAATTTTCGGCGGTGGAATATTTTCGGTATTCTTCAAAATCGGCGTATGGGTGGAGGGAAATTTTCAGTAAATCCGCTTTCCAGGTAAGTGTACTAGTACTAGTAGTAGTACCGATATTTTCGGTGCGTTTTATTTTCGGTAGAAATTTCGGCACCGAAGTTACCGAAAATAAAACGCCGCCGAAAATGTCTGCGTTTAGAGTACACACAGTGTAGAGTGGTGAAAGGATGCTATATACAGATCATAGTAGTGAAAGGATGCTATATACAGATCATAGTAGTGAAAGGATGCTGTATACAGTGCATAGTAGTGAAAGGATGCTGTATACAGCGCATAGTAGTGAAAGGATGCTATATACAGTGCATAGTAGTGAAAGGATGCTATATACAGTTCATAGTAGTGAAAGGATGCTGTATACAGCGCATAGTAGTGAAAGGATGCTATATACAGTGCATAGTAGTGAAAGGATGCTGTATACAGCGCATAGTAGTGAAAGGATGCTATATACAGATCATAGTAGTGAAAGGATGCTATATACAGTGCATAGTAGTGAAAGGATGCTATATACAGTGCATAGTAGTGAAAGGATGCTATATACAGTGCATAGTAGTGAAAGGATGCTATATACAGTGCATAGTAGTGAAAGGATGCTGTATACAGTGCATAGTAGTGGAAGGATGCGATATACAGTGCATAGTAGTGAAAGGATGCTATATACAGTTCATAGTAGTGAAAGGATGCTGTATACAGTGCATAGTAGTGGAAGGATGCGATATACACTCATTGCCGAAGATGCGTTGCCATGGTGCAAAAATGGCGTTGGATGGCTACGCCTGAGCGCTCGCGCTGTCATCGCAGCCCACGACACGTCTTCCTGCTGTGCTTTCCTGACAAATTATTTTGTTTCGCTTTGTCCTTGTTGCTGGAGGGTTTGATTCTTTGAGATACTGTAGAGCGATTTGGAGTTGGTCAGCCGAGAGTAGTCGTGAGAAATGGAGAAAGAATGTGAGAGAACCTGAACTGCGGATAAAGTCGCTCTGTTCCAGCGGAGGCGAGCAGAGGGTTACGATCTCAGTGCCCAGGCACGTCGCTCCTGATTATTTCGAGTGGCTCGATGTGCAAGTGGCACTCGAAACCAGCGCTGTGCAGAGTACCGATGTTCCTGCCAGTGTCGCTGCTTTAGCCGGGCTGGCGCTGGCGTCTCCAGTGCAAGCAGTAGCTAAAACCATTCCTGAACCGGTTCCAGTCGAACAAACTGTCGCTGCAGCTAGTGTTGGTGTTGTTTCTTCGCCTTCAGTGTCCGTGGGGTCAGCCGCAGTGGAATCTGGCACTGACAGCCAACCTGCCAAGAAGAACTTCAGGCAAGGGCTACTACTGTGCTGTTCCGCTCTGCAGTAATCGGTCTTTAGATATGTCACTTGCAATTCATCGTTTTCCCAGTGATGCAGAAAGGTGCAAGTTATGGCAATTTGAAATTAGGAGGGACATGGGATCAAATTTCAAGATCACATCAAACACCAGAGTATGCAGCTCTCATTTCAAACAAGATGATTACGTCGGCAAGCTCCTGTCTGGTGAGGAGCCAGAAAGAAAATGGCTCAACCCCACCGCTGTGCCAACCCAGTTCCAGTGGACGGCAACTCCTAAACCAGCGAGATGAGTTCTGAAGAGAAAACGTCAAGAGTCTGAGGAGCCACAAGATATTGATGATTCCGGGGTCGTTTCTGTGGTGTCTGGTGTCTGTTCGGCTATTGACCCAGCACCGACCCCTGGTCCTGTGCAGGGTTTGCCATGTGATCACAGATATATCAGTGTAAGTGACCCGAGTGAAGTTGATGATCACATGGCTGGCCTAGAAAAAGACTTCAGTGAAATTAAAAAAGAGTACAAGAGCCTGAAGTGTCGTTCGATCGATTTAGCCAGCATCAGAAACAATCCTGACAAGTTCAGGCACTTCACCGGCTGCCTAACTACGCAGTGCTCTCTGCCCTGTTCAAATACCTCGAACCCAAAGCCAAGAGGATGCAAACTTGGCGCGGCCTATCTACCCTTAGACATTTGTATGCCACTGGTCCTCAGCGATGGCCATTAGACGTTTCACCGACACTGGCTGACCATCATCATCACAGAATATGAATTTGTTCCAATAAATACTGCGTGAATGTGAAAAAGATTGTTACATATATTCCACCGGAAATACAAGTTCTATCAACCAACCAAGTATTTCACTTAGCTCAATCTGTGCATTCAGAAATGATTTGTTCCAGTAATAATCTAACATCAGTCCGAAGTTATTATTCAGAAATGTCCAGTGTCTGCTCTAGGATTGTAGGACAGCCGGGTACACGTGTACCTGGCGCAACCATTTCAACCGGGTCGGAGCCGGGTACACATGTACCTGGCGCTGTCTCACCAGCCGAGTCACGTGCTTTAACTGGTTGGTTGGTTTATTTTAATTCGGACAATAAACGGGAACTAGGCCCAATGATATAAAGGCGAATGGATAAGCCGCATTTAGAAAAGAGAGGACAGGAATTAGAAAATTACGAAGGAAGAAGAAGTATCTGACAGATACAAGCAAGAGTACATGAAAACCGTTTTCATGTACTCTTGATACAAGCCGTGCAGTCAGTCCTTTCAAAGTTCGAAAGTGTAAAGTGCTAACCGGGTCACAGGTGACCCAGTACTATATTTTCAACCGGGTCCAAGCGCCGCCCAACCGGGTGGATTACCCGGCTCACCCGGCGCTGGAGCAGACACTGATGTATTGTAAGTCAATGTTTTACTATGATGACAGACCATTTTGATCTCTGCCAATTTCTGGTTTGAAGACATAAAAATGATGATTATTGATCCAGAAAGTCGTTAAAAAATCAGTGCAATCGATAACGAGTTTTCGGTTGTTTGTGAGGGGTTGAGAGGTGAGGTGGAATGAAATGTTGCTTTCGTTCACAGTGTAATGTTATTATGTTTGACAAGATGATATAATTCACAAAAGTCAACAGACATGACGAGGAAAGATCAGAAGAGAAGCCATGATCTAGAAAAACAGTCAGAAGCACGAGCGTGCATGCATACAACATGTCTGTTACGGAAGGTCCAGACAAACTCTGCATGCCATGGCTGCAAAAATCATCCAGCGCAAACAGCAAAGCCGCGACATGTGAACAGCACTCTCATTATCCGGAAATGCACTGGCAGTATCCACCGTAGCACACTGGATCGTCCCTGCTGATGCAGACGATACACGTGTAGGCTTGCTTTGATGTATCTTGTGATGGCCAGCATTTCGCACGCGGACGAAACAAAAGTTTGTTCCACCTGCAAACAGGTTTCCCTCCAAATGGTGAAGGTGGTGCTCATCAAATAATTGGTACGCACGAAGTTGCTTGTAGCACTGCAAGCTCTCCTTGTCATAATCTTTGTCCGGGGAATTTAACATAATTATAGTGCTTGACAGCCTCAGTAATGAAGAAAGGGATTTTAGTTAGGCGAGATAGAGACCAGCCAGATGTTATGTGTGAAAAGCTTGGTAGCTTCTTGTACGCTGCCATTCCTGGCTTTGGTAATGCAGGCTTGTCTGCCTCCTCGTCTGGAACCCCTTCGCCAGCAGTACTCAAGTGGAAATGTTCACAGATGAGAAGGTAAAGATCACGTCTGGATACACGCCCTTGGTAGGGAATACTGTCTTTGCAAAGTTGGCGCAGCCCTTGCATGCGTAAGCGCATGATATCCCCACAAGAGGTGGGAGCGCGCAGGACAGAGCTGGACAGAAGTAAATGTGTGGCCCCTTCAGTAGCAGCATCAGCTGCTGTTTGCACTGGCCCTGAGCGGCGGGTTTTACAGCAGGTCCAGGAGTGGTTTCAGCTACTAGGTAAACTGCTTGCACTGGAGACGCCAGCGCCAGCCCGGCTGAAGCAGCGACACCGGCAGGAACATGGGCACTCTGCGCAGCACTGGTTTCGAGTGCCACTTGCACATCGAGCCCCTTGAAATAATCAGGAGCGACGTGCCTGGGCACTGAGATCGTAACCCTCTGCTCGCCTCCGCTGGAACAGAGCGACTTGATCCGCAGTCCAGGTTCTCTCACATTCTTTCTCCATTTCTCACGACTACTCTCGGCTGACCAACTCCAAATCGCTCTACAGTATCTCAAAGAATCAAACCCTCCAGCAACAAGGACAAAGCGAAACAAAATAATTTGTCAGGAAAGCACAGCAGGAAGACGTGTCGTGGGCTGCGATGACAGCGCGAGCGCTCAGGCGTAGCCATCCAACGCCATTTTTGCACCATGGCAACACAACTTCGGCAATGAGTGTATACAGTTCATAGTAGTGAAAGGATACTGTACAAGCAGAAATATTAGTCAGGAGTGGACATTCGTCGTTCCCCTCCAACGAGTTTTCAGACTAAATATAACCGTTGCCTCCACTGTGTAAATTTAATGCAGGACTAAAGCCGATTTGCCTAGCCTTTCAGTATGTTCAACACGCATGAACACATTACACCAGTTCATTAAACATACCGATAACTTCCCAAGAGAACGTGACCACTGCAGAGCTACTCTGGCCCTCTCCGATGCGCTATTCATTACACAAGACAATTAATTACACACGTGTGATGTGTAGCATCGTCTTGTTGCGCCGTCTTACCGCGATCTCTAGATACCGATACACTATTTACTCAAGACAATACAACTACACATGTGACACGTAACATTGTCTGGTTTGAGGGCCTGTGGTGTCCCATGTCTTACCGTGATCTTTAGATTGGGCAAGGCCGAGCACGCGGGCAGCATGAGGGCGCACTCGTAGCACATCCGCTGCGGAAAGCTCTCGCTGGCGCTCTCGATGTACTGCACTGTGGGTGCTAGCTGAGTGCCATCACTGCACAGCTTGCTAACATACCTGTAGTTAAAGAAAATGGACAAAACAAATTGAATACAAACAAGAACACGATAAGCAACAAACGCACAGGAGAGAAGCGAGAAATGGCAATTAATCTCGCGAGATGTGGGCTTCCGACTCTGCCAGAGTGTGGGATACGTCATTAGCAGCAGCACGATGCCTAACACGAGAGCCATGCAAACAAGCAATGCAAGAACGCAGCAGAGCAAACGAAATCCTGCACCGAATGAAAGCCATAGCTGTAGGCATTGGGCACATACAGTGAATAGTGAGTACAAAAACACGGTCGGATACTACATGTACATGTAGACTGACACAGACACACTATGCACACACGTTTGCCCCAACAAGGCAATAGGCGACGGCCCGTTCTACAGTGATGTCAAGTGAAGCCTGAAGCCCAGGCTTGTGAGGCATCAGGGCAGATCTACCGAGTACGTCGAAACTACCGAAAAACATGTCACGGCGACCACCCTGATACGGCCACCGACCTGACAAGGCGACCACCTGTCCTAGGGAGCAATACAACCTGGACCAAAGGGTAAGGGTGCTATTCCCAGTCAAGTGACCCTGGATAGTGTGACCACCTGTACACGGAGGCCACATTCAGTACCCGTGAGCGGTCGGCTTAGACAAGTTTCACTGTACTTGGAATCGCATACCTTCTTTACTGCCATGTTTAGCCAAACCAGGTGTTCTCCGTAGATCTACTCAATATACACTAGGCCATGTACATGTACAGTAGTAGAGCATAGCACACTTACATGTTGACAATCTGTATGGCTGTGGTCATGTCAGCACGCGCCAACTCAGGCTTGGCCGGGTTGGGATAGAACGGTGGACAGATCCTACAGGGGAGCCAAGCAACATCACGGTCCTTCAAACCATCAAATCAGAATTATTATAGATTAGATGATGCTATTAACATTAATATTGTAGATACGCACAGGCATTTGGGTGTTGTATTTGACTCGCAATTGTCCTGGAATTCTCACGTAGATTTTGTATGCAACAAAGTTAGCAAATCTGTAGGTTGCCTGATGTCTCACTGCTCCCACTTGTCCCCCGAATGTATTCGTCTCTTTTATAAATGCTACCTCCTTCCTATCTTTCTGTACGGCGCCACTGCTTGGCATTCCCTGCTTAGTAAATCTGCTGTACAGACACTAAAAATATATCATAAACGTGTGTTGAAAATTATTTTTCGTAAACCCTCTCTTTCCCCTCTACTGATCTATATAGTTTGGCCTCCACCAGCCCCATCTCTATCCTGTCGCAGAGACAGTCATGCGTTCTGGTCCATCGTATTAAACTGAACATTGTCCCTGAACATCTCACCAAGTATAATTGGTTTACTTTCGCACGGGACACTCGCAATGGCATAGTACTTCCCAGAGCTTTGTCAACTATGTTTACCAAATCTCCTATCTTCTCTGCATACTCGTATTGGCTCAAGCTGCCCATGGAAATGAAGACAATATCCAATATTAGACAGTTCATAGACCATGTTAAATGTCATGCCACGTTGTAGGCTCGCTCGCCTCTTTTGCTAGCCTATCTCGCCGCTCTCCACCATGGTCAACATAGTGATACATTTCACCCCGCTGATGCATTATTTTCTTCCGATTATCATCTTCTTTCCTTCATTTTTTTTCTTCTCTTGCCATGGCTGGCTAACGCCCCCTCCTTTGCATTGGCTTCTGCCATTGGACGGTGAAATAAATAAATAAAAAATAAATAAATGATGCACATGCATGCATACGTATGCACGTATGCACGCACGCACGCACGCACGCACGCACGCACGCACACACACACACACACACACAGCACACAGATATGCATCGGATGATGTAGACAATCTCTTCGCAATACACGTAGAACCTGATGTAACTGCCATCACCCATACATGACCAAATGATCTCATCAGAATGCTTCACCGAGCACTGGCAGATTTTTGTTCATAACTCAAGTGTAAAACAGAGAGGTTCCAGGCTGTCCAATAGAGTGCACAATACCAAAAGACAGAGCTAGCTCCAACAATAATAAGAGGATGAAAAAAGTGTTTTTACTCCGAGTTTCACAAACTAAACACTTTTTCATCCTCGTGTTCGTGTTGACTCAAGTGTGCATCCACAGCGCAGAGAGGTGACAGCGGATACACAAAGCAGAGAGGTGACAGCGTTGCGACTACACAAAGCCGTTTCAAAATGTAAACATAGCCAACCTGCTGATTTGACTGCTATACTCCAGCTCCTCCTCATCATCGCTGGCCGCATCCTCGTCCTCCCAGTCTTGGAAGAACTCATGGTGCTCCTCCTGGCAGCACTTAATCAAATGCTGATGCAAACACAGAACAAGGAGCCGCCCACCGAAAACCTCATCTGGTACAATCTGCAAAGAGAATTTCCCCGCAGGAATACTTTAACACAACCTTTTTTTTCCCCATAGGCAAGACAGCATCTCAAGATGACACAGAAGTACAGTAAAACTCCCCCTAATCCGGGCAGGTCGGGTCCGACCTAACCTGGGCAGGTCGGGTCCGACCTAACCTGAGCAGGTCGGGACCGAGCAATGCCTGTAACTCAGACCATACTAGTACATACTATAGTAACTGCATACTAGTACCGTAAAGTACCGCCAGAGCGCCCCGTCTCGCGAGAGCGCCCCACCTTGATTTTACAGCCAAGGGAGGAAAATCGTATGGCAGAATGCTACTAAGTTTGTACGATGTGAGAACCTTGGTGTACTAAGGTCACACTTGGTATGCTTTTATGTGGAGCTCGAAGGTAAGCTGGGTACGGATTGACTGCACAATGTGCAATGTTCGTACAAGGTCCGTGTCGTATGACCTACAGACAGGAATCCACCTCCACAAGGCGGCCACGAAAGGACGAGATGGTGGGGCGCTCTGGCGGTACTTTACGGTATTTGTTTTGTTTTCTTGTTCTTCGCCGTGGTTGGCTATCACCCTCTCCCCTCTGATTGGCTGTTGTTTTTTCAGCTATGGGATGAAGCAATAATAATAAAAATAAAAATAATAATAATAATACCATATGGCATACTAGTACATACTTACTGCATTCAAGTAAACAACTTTTTTATGCCAATCTGTAGTTTTCGCGGCCGTTTTACGTTGAAAATCCACAAGTTTTGCGACTGTATATGGGTCAGAACGGTGCCCGGTGGGCAGACATGCTCGGAGTAGGGGTGTTTCGCTGCACACGTAGCAGCAATGGTGCCGGTACAAGTACACTACCACACGATGGTGTGAGAGAACGTACGACGCACCTGTTCGTACATGGCGAAACGATTCAGACGGGCTTCCATCTTGGCCTCGTCTTCCTCTGGTGCCATGACAATGAAAGAGGACGGCTTGTCACGAGCCCGTCCCCGCGACTGCACGTAGCCTCGGAATTCCTGAAATCACGGCGCGCACACGCACACGTGCACACACACACACACACACACACACACACACACACACAGGCAGAGGACACGCTGTCAATAGCCTCATCTCTGAGCAGCATAACACAGGTCACAAGAACAGTCGCCGTGTCCTATCTGGGTAACAAGTTACTAATAACAAGATTAGACCCGGGTGGAGAGCCAAGGATTAATTTATAAGAAGAAAAGAGGACCAAAGAGCTACAAGTTACGCTATAATATCCACTAACACCACCAGTTACAGCATGAGCTGATTGTAATGTAACTGCTGGTGTTAGTGGATATTATAGCGTAGCTTGTAGCTCTTTGGTCCTCTTTTCTTCTTATAAATGGCACGTATTCATCAAACTCCCGCCAAAATGACTACGGGGACACCGCGCCATGTGGGCGAGCACGCGGCATGCTTTTGACGAGCCTGTCGACAGCTACTAAGCGCCTGTATACCACTCGCAGCGCACTCCGTCAAATCTTTGGCTTTGATCACACAGTTCGGCCGTGTGCACCACTACCAGTGACACATTCGCGATCGAGCTTGTTCTTGCATAAAAGTGAAAAGCGAAGATGCTCGATGTTTTCTTTGCAAACGTTTGTTTTCCACTTCCAGTTCCTCCGCTTGGGAAATGCCTTTTCACGCCAACTGTGTTGTCCCAGAAGGCATCGCAGCATCGGCATGAGTCCCACGGAAGCCTCGCGCGAGCGCAGCGCAGCATTTGTACAGGATTTCCTGCCTCGATACCATATGCTCATCTCCCACGCTTTACCGAAGGTGACCAGGTTGGAATTGATCAAACGTCATTTCGAAAAGGGCAACACTCCGAACTGGACGGAAGAGGTGTTTGTCGTGGATGGTGTCCTGCCCACCCGCCCGATCACCTATCGCATTCGCGATCTCATGGATGAACGCGTTCTGGGTTCTTTCTACGAGCAGCAGTTGCAGAAAACGGAGCAGATCAAATTCCGCGTTGAGCAAGTACTGCGCAAACGACGTGGACAATCACTTGTCAAGTGGGAAGGATATCCGGACAAGCTCACCTCGTGGATATAGAACAAACTGTTGGAAAAGCTCTGAACATCGAGCCATTACTTCTATTAGTGGACAGTGTGTGTGTCCATCTGTTCACTGTTTACGAATGGACTGCCTTGGATTTGTTAGCCAGTGCAGACTGTCGTAATAAAACGACTCATCCGTGTTCCATTCCCGTGCATGGTACATGCATGGTGCGACGGCACAATGACAGCTGTCGCAAATCACACTGAGTATTACACGTGTTTTTTGGTGATTCCTGGTTAGCTGCTAGCTTTTCCCTACTCGAAGATGTTGCCGCCGCGAAATCTGGGGGTTTGTGTTCGTCCTGGCGAAAACCGTGTTTTGATCCGTTGAGGGAGACGAGAGATACAGTGCGAAGACGTACGATCTGTCCGAGAATCGGCGAAGAAGAAAGCTTCGCAGACTACCCGTAGTGGTTGGGAACAGAATGGAACATATACCAGTCAATGCCTGTCATGGTAGGGATGACTGCTACAAAGTTTTAGCCCCATGCGCCCCAGCGCTTTTTAGCGCCCGACGATAATTACCAAATTTCATCGATTTTCCATGTGGATCAAAGCATAGTCTCCCAAATCTTCTCCAGTCGAGCTGAGTCTGGACGCTAAAATGTCGAGACGCGAAAAGAGAACATGCATGAACACACAGGAGCATCAAATGCAGCTGCATTCTGCCTTGACGAAGCTGAGAACAACACCAACACCACGCATTTGGAAGACATTTCGAAGAAGACGAAGAACTACATATCTGCGTTCAAAAAAGCCTCTGTACTGTGTGTGTGCATGCAGTATGCATGCATGCATGCGCGAAGCACGGGGTCCGCGGATCAACTTCGTTCAAAAATCATTGTGCCACACGGGTTGTATGATTTGTGTGCGATCATGGTCTTTCTTCTTGACAAACAAAAGTGAAGTTTTTCGATCTTCAAATCGCCATAGCGTCCTTGTCATGACTCCAAATCAGCTGAAACTTTGCAGGAGGAATGAAAATGCCATGCTGAATCGATTGGTACCATTTTCGAAGGGTTTCCTTGAAAAATAAAATTTAGCCTGCACTGGCTAGATTTGTGAGTTGATCAAGTTGCCAAGTAACATGATGGTGTTCATCTTGTTCAGCTATTGACTAACAGTGCCTACAAGCCCATCTCTCTAACATGCTCGACCGTGTCACACGTTAAGCATCCCGTCCCTAACATGCCCAGCCGTGTCACGCGTGCTCGTCGTAAACTGCCGTACATGTTCGGATCGCAATCGCCTGCTCCATCATGTTGTGCAACGCTGGCGGAAGCTAAGAAGAAGTGGTGGAAAAGTGCTTTGTTCTCCCAAAATGCTAATAAGAAAACAGTTCTCAGACCAAGAAAGCTGTAGGTGTAAGAGAGATTTATACTCCATCACGTTGTGCACCGCTGGCAAAAGCTAAGAAAAAGTGGTGAAAAAGTGGTTTGTTTTCCCAAAGTGCAAATACCGTAAGAAAACAGTTCTCAGGCCAAGAAAGCTGTAGATGTGAGAGAGATTTATAATGGAGGACGCTGCAAAAGCAAGCGCCAGCACACCGGTAGTGCATGGCAAAGATGGACATCAGCTAAGGTCAACGTCCTCTTCACAGGCATCACAACCGTCATCATCACTGTCACCACCGCCTACACCGTATTATGATCATGATGAATCGTGCTACATAAATGCAAACCCTCCATCATCCCGTGCCCGATCGTCACACCGGCATCATCATCATCGCCATGGTCACCATCCTCACCACCACCTGTACCACCATGACGTACCACACCACCAACTGAACAGTCTTCACCACCACCACCACCACCACCACCACCTCTCCGGCAGTCTCCACCACCACATCACTAGCAGCAGCAAGCGCCATTCAGCAAGAACCATCGGTACAGATGCCATGCCTACCACAGCCAAACTGTGATGAGTGCCGCGATCTGGGGCAGTGCAGGTGCACAACGGAGCGCGTTCTCCTAGCCCTTGCTTTTGGAACATTTCTGATGGTACTCATTACTTTTATTAAGGTGTCATGACCCGGATCGGACTCGTCGTGAAAGCGACCACGCATTGAGTTCAGCCGCCAGAAGCTGGGCTCCGAAATATTCTAGAGTTCTGTAAGAACCATGATTAGTCCAGCGAAGGATTTGGCACTTTCGTTAGTTGAGCTATCATGGCTTACAACTCGTGGCCTAGAGCCGCAAAGTGTGGTCGTACGTCGGCCACACCTTCAGTACAAGTCGTCAGCATTGTACTCACTACACTGTTGAGCTTGAGGGGGCCACGCTTAGTCCTGCAAGGGAGCCGATACCCTTGTTAGTTGAGCAAGAGTGGCGCCTCTTCTCGCGTCGTACGACGTAACGGGTCTGCAGTGCTTCGTGTACTGTGGACTCCGTACCCTTTCGGAGGGAACACGGCATTGCCGCCTGCAGCTAAGTTTGGGGGAAGAGCCCATTTGGGTGAACCTAGAAGAAGGACGCAGCTACGCTTCCCGCCTGCTGCAATGCATCCCAGTCCACCGGATCGCGGACCAAGATCATGCCAGCATTTGGAGAACAGTAATATTCCGTTTGGGTGAGCGGGTTCCCCGTATTGATCTTTGTACTTTATTCTAGCTTGGCTGATTGCACCACTGTTTGTATAATCCTTACGTATCCTTGCCGCTGCATACTTTTGATCACAAAATGTAGCATACATAAGGAGCTGTTTTGCTGGCATTCATCCTCGACTCTCGGGGAGCTCACTACTCCTTTGATTCACTCTCGATTCTGGGAAAGTCACTTCGACTCTCTCCTGCTTTGGGTCTTTGACTCTTCACGCTTGATCTTTCGATCTAGCATTGCAATGGTTGAATAAACACTGTTCAAGTGGAATTAGAAACCTGTCGTTCTGTGTGAGCTAGCTAACTTGGATGGCGACTATATTGGTCGTCGACCTGGGTAGCCACTAGACTGATCTAAGCCAGGTCACAAACCCGCCAACACGCGGCCATGACAAAGGTGATGCTATAACTCTGTGTGCGTGTGAGTGCGTGCGTGCGTGTGTGTGTGCGTGCGTGCGTGTGGAGCTGTTATATTGTTGGTGATCTGGAGTGTGCTTTGCCCATATAAGTGGTGTGTGCGTGCGTGCACGCACGCGCGCGCGTTCATGCATGTGTGCGTGCGTACATGCGCGCGCGCGCGTGTGTGTGTGTGTGTGTGTGTGTGTGTGTGTGTGTGTGTGTGTGTGTGTGTGTGTGTGTGTGTGTGTGTGTGTGCGTGTGCGTGCGTGCGTGTGTGTGTGTGAATACGTGCCATTAATAACAAGATCTGATTACTAACTGAGCTATGGGACCAGGCCAAACCTAGAAGGAACCCTCTAGGTTCGGCCTGGTCCCATAGCTCCGTTGGTTAGAGCATCATGACAAGCAAGGTCCCGGGTTCGAGTCCTGGTGGGTCTGGCATTTTTGTTCTCTTTTCAGGCAGTTCACTTCCCGACTGATCCTTTGGCATTTGAAGTTCTCCCAATCCTTCAAAAATCTGATTATTAGTCAACATTAAAAAAAGAGAGGACCATACGTTACAAGATATCCGTTTAGTCCAACACTAACTACACTAACTACACTAACGAATCGTAGTAACCATTATAAGCAGGATACCGATATCAAAATACATGTAATAGTGTTGGTCCTGTTGGACAAAACGGATAACTTGTAAACTTATGGTCCTCTCTCTTTTAATTTTAATCCTTGGCTCTCCACCCGAGTCTGAATATTAGTCCTGGAGATTTCAATGCTGCCATCCAACCCCACCACTACCAGAGACCTAACCTCTGCAATGCTCGGCACAGGAATGGGAACGGATTCCTAACTAGACGCCAAGCTGCAC